TATGGTTGAGCATATTGGCATGATGTTTAGCATTGTTAGTCAGAATTTTGAAATCTTTTTCAAAACTGATTTAATATTACACCACAATTATAATACAACACGCTAAAGCTCAGAAAATGTTATTTGTGCAGTAATCTTATGGGGCAGAATAACCTGTAAGTGATATACATGCACCAAACAATTCTTACTCTGCAGAACTTTAAATGCACAGTTACTTTCAGTAATATATGCAGGCCTCAACCTATCACTAGTCCAGCCTACTCATTTCAGCTGTAAGTTGTGTGTTGGTTGAACAGTGGATCATCATATGAACAACCAAAATTTATGTCCTTTTTGCAGTGGTGGTTAAGTGAATCACCATTGTCATTAAGTAAATCTGAATTGTTAAGCAAAACTATTGTTTGCTATGGGGAACTCTTGCTGAAACTGAAAAGTAGATACCAGTTTATAGAAAGAATGTCTCAAATTGTAACTACATGACTGTGGGATTCTGTAAATGGTTGTAAATGGGAGCTTGCAGTCGAACACCCAAAATGAGGTCCCACGACCACAGAAGGTGGCAGCGGTCAGAACTTTAGAACCAAACAGGTCATAAGGGGGTCCATTGTAACTTTGAATGGTTGCTAAGCAATCAGTGGTAAGTCAAGAGCTACTTGTATATTATCTGATTTAGTGCATGTTGAAATTGCTATCAAAGACGTCTTTCTCCCAAGTCCTGCTGTTCTCAAGTGTCCAAATCCCCAGGCCTGGCAAACACAGAAGCAAACAGGCTTTGGAACCATTGGATAAAGGTCAGCCGGTTCCCTCCTGTTCGGGCGAACCGGTAGGGAGGGTCCGCCCATCCGCCCCAACATAATGTGCGAGCTATGTGCATATGCAGAAGGTGGTGTGCATGTGCAGACTGGTTCATGTGAGTGAAGCAAGCACGCATGCACAAATGCTCACATTTGCGAACTGGTAGGGAAGGCAAGTGAATCCCACCACTGCGCCTTTGCCTCCTTTGCTGGAGCTTCATGCTGCACCCGGAGTCGACACGTCCCAGCTGGACACCTTGTTGATGCCCGGGCTGCTGCATGGCATGCCACCGCACAACTGTTCCTGCCACTGCACCAGTGGCGTCCACATGGACGTATGCAGTGCACGCATGCGTATTAGCGCCTCCGTGAGCCTCCAGCTGCTCAGCAGAGAATCGCACAGGCACTGTATGCGCCATGTGCGTGTGCAGAAGTGCCAAAGACTTAAGCACCATACCAGAATGGTATCCAGTGGTCCAGGCAGGCTCCGGTACGCCCGTATCAGGGCGGGTTCCACCACAAAACCGCGGAGGACAAAATCGCGCTCGACGAAAGCGCGCATTTGACGTCATCACAGCGCG